GACAAAAACACACCAGATTATTGTAGATACTAAACATTTTCTTTTGTTAATGTGTATGAAAAAATTAATTTAAAATTAATTTAAAATGTCCAAATTTCGTCTTTATTATAGTCTAGTTCCTACTACAGCCTAATGTCAAGTCTAATCTAGTCTAGTGCAGTTGTAGTCTAGTCTATAGTCTAGTCTATAGTCTAGTCTATAGTTTAATGTAGTAGTATAATTTGATAGTCTACTCTATAATCTAGTCTATAGCCTAGTTTATGGTCTTGTCTATAGTATAATCTGATAGTCTAGTATATAGTATAATCTATAGTTTATTCTATAGACTATTCTATAGTCTATTCTATTGTCCAGTCTATAGTATATTCTAAAAACTAGTCTATAGTCTAGTCTATAGTCAAACCCAGTCGTCTAGTTCATAGTCAAGTCCATAGTTAGTCTATAGTCTAGTTTATAGTCTAGACTAAAGTCTAGTCTACAATCTAGTTCAAAGTCTAGTCTACAATATAGTTTATAGTCTAGTCTACAATATAGTTTATACTCTAGTCTACAATCTAGTCCATAGAATAGTCTATAGTCTAGTTTACAGTCTAGTCTATAGTCTAATCTATAGTTTAGACTACAGAATACAGTCTAGTCTAGTCTATAGTATTGTCCATAGTCTGGTCTGTAGTACTGTCCATAGTCTGGTCTGTAGTATTGTCCATGGTCTAGTCTATAGTCTAGTCTACAGTCTAGTCTATTGTCTTGTCTACAGTATAGTCTATAGTATAGTCTACAGTCTAGACTATAGTCTAGACTACAGTCTAGCCTATAGTATAGTCTAGTCTACAGTATAGTCTAGTCTGGTCTGTAGTACTGTCCATAGTCTGGTCTGTAGTATTGTCCATGGTCTAGTCTATAGTCTAGTCTACAGTCTTGTCTACAGTCTAGTCTATAGTCTAGTCTGCAGTCCAGTCTATAGTTTATTCTACAGTCTAGTCTATAGTCTAGTCTACAGTTTAGTCTATAGTCTAGTCTACACTCTAGTCTATAGTCTAGTCTATAGTCTAGCCTACAGTCTGGTCTATAGCCTAGTCTACAGTCTAGTCTATAGTATTATCTGCAGTCTAGTTTATAGACTATTCTATAGTAAATTCCATAGTATGTAACTTAGTCTTACCCCCATTTTCTCAATGTCTTGTTAGTTTTTATCGAAACGATATTTTGACAGTTTTCATACAAAAAAAAAAAAAAAAAACAAGTAAGAGTGTTATATTCGGCTATGCCGAATCTTATATACCCACCATCAAACCTCGTTTGACTCGAATGAAACTTACTTATGTCGAATTTCATCTATATATTCGTATTTTTAGGCCAGTTATAAGCGTTAAAGTAATTTTCTGAAGGGGACATTATATAGGGGGGTAGGGTCAATTATGGGTCGATCCTCATAAAATTTGGTAGACAGAATTTGGTTCGTATAAAATTTATTTGTGTCGAATTTCATCGCTACACTCGTATTTTTATAGTCATTAATGAGCGTTGCAGTCATTTTCTGAAGGGGACCTTATATGGGGGGTAGGGTCAATCATGGACCGATCAACATAAAATTTTTAAATAGATTTTGACTCGTATGAAACTTACTTATGTCGAATTTCATCTATATACTAGAATTTTTTAAGCCAGTAATGAGCGTTAAAGTCATTTTCTGAAGGGGACCTTATATGGGAGGTAGGGTCAATTATGGACCGATCCTCATAAAATTTTGCACAGTGATTTTGGATCACAAGAAACTTACTTATGTCGAATTTCATCGCTATATTCGTATTTTTAAACAAGTTATGGCTGTTAAAGCTGCTTTTCGAGGGGCCACTTGTATGGGGGCTATCCGAAAACGTGGACCGATATTGCCCATTTTCAATACCAAACAAACCTTACCTATAAGAAATATTTATGTGAAATTTCAACCCTCTAGCTTTTTCCATTCGGACTCTATCGTGCTTTCAACAGACAGACAGACAGACAGACAGACAGACGGACGGACGGACGGACAGACGGACAGACGGACAGACGGACAGACATGGCTAGATCGTCTTAGAATTTAATGAGGACCCAGAATATATATACTTTTGTGGGTCTATGACCAATATTTCGATGTGTTACAAACGGAATGACAAAATCAATATACCCCCCATCTTTTTTGATGGTGGGTATAAAAATATTTTAACCGGCAGAATATCTACCGGTTAAATGAAAACCGGAGAATGAGATTACGGGCCTTTGTCTTTTCGCAAAGAACAATAGGTGAAGTTTTTAATTTTATGTAAATTAGAATAAAATAAAAAGCTAACCAACCTTCAAAGAAACTCTGCTTATCCTCCTCATATGTTCAATGCCATGATGTATGTAATAAATACGCTTTTGGTATGTTGTCATTGTATAACAACTTTAAATGTTTGTAACCAAAATTGTATGTCCTTGCGAATATATTTATTATCCTACAAACGCTTCATCTGGCTCCCAAGTATAAATGTAGGCGTTTTTAATACAGTGTGCATTTACTATAAAGTTAAAAGAGATATTTGCGATCTACATATGTTGTAAGAATACCACATACATACATACATATATAAATTGGTCTAGTATCATTTAGTCTAGTAAATAATGATGCCTTAATTGTGAATATGTTGCTATTTTTTTTTATTTGCCTCTTTAACAAGGACGCAATCTTTTATTTTTTTTGCATATTTTACTTTTGATTTTATTTTATAATAATAATAATGTGTTTCTTTGATTTCTGAGAAATTTTTTCTTGTTTGAACAAACTGAAAGAACGTGCAGACAAAAAAAAATTAGAGAAATATTTTACGCAGTTTTTTATTACGATTTTAAAGGCTGTGTTGCAGGCAGTCGTTTAAAAGACAGGCAAATGAAGATTCAGAATATCTAGGCCGTATTATTTATGTACTCTATAATAAACTGTATGTTCATATTGTAAGTAGAAATGACATATTAAGAACATTAAAAATAGGTCGACATCTAATTAAAAACAGTAGAGGGATAACTAGTATTATATGAATCTGTATAAAAATAAGTCTATAGTCTAGTCTATAGTCTAGTCTATAGTCTAGTCTATAGTCTAGTCTATAGTCTAGTCTATAGTCTAGTCTATAGTCTAGTCTATAGTCTAGTCTATAGTCTAGTCTATAGTCTAGTCTATAGTCTAGTCTATAGTCTAGTCTATAGTCTAGTCTATAGTCTAGTCTATAGTCTAGTCTATAGTCTAGTCTATAGTCTAGTCTATAGTCTAGTCTATAGTCTAGTCTATAGTCTAGTCTATAGTCCTAGTCTATATCTAGTCAGAGGCGTCAGAGGCTAGGCTAGAGGCGAGGCGAGAGGCGAGGCGAGAGGCGAGGCGAGCGAGGCGAGCGAGGCGAGAGGCTAGGCGAGAGGGAGCGAGAGGCTAGGCGAGCTAGTCTAAGTCAGTCTATAGGCTAGGCGATAGTCTATCGAGGCGAGAGTCGATAGGCGAGGCGTAGAGTCTATAGTCTAGTCTATAGTCTAGTCTATAGTCTAGTCTAGAGTCTAGTCTATAGGTCTAGTCTATAGTCTGGTCTATAGTCTAGTCTATGTCTAGTCTTATAGTCTAGTCTATAGCTCGTCTATAGTCTAGTCTATCGTCTAGTTCTGTCTAGGTCTAGTCTAGGCTATAGTCTACAGTTCTATAGTCTAGTCTATAGTCTAGTCTATAGTCTAAGTCTATAGTCTAGTCTATAGTATAGTCTATAGTCTAGTCTATAGTCTAGGTCTATAGGTTCTAGTCATGTAGTCTATAGTCTAGTCTATAGTCTAGTCTATAGTTAGTATGTCTAGTCTATAGTCTAGTCTATAGTCTAGTCTATAGTCTAGTTCTATAGTAGTCTATAGTCTTAGTCTATAGTCTAGTCTATAGTCTAGTCTATAGTCTAGTCTATAGTCTAGTCTATAGTTACTAGTCATAGTCTAGTCTATAGGTCTTTAGTCATGCATAAGTCTAGTCTATTAGTCTAAGTCTATAGTCTAGTCTATCGTTCAGTCTATAGTCTAGTCTATAGTCTAGTCTATAGTCTCGTCTATAGTCTAGTCTATAGTCTAGTCTATAGTCTAGTCTATTAGTCTAGTCTATAGTCTAGTCTATAGTCTAGTCTATCGTCTAGTCTATTAGTCTAGTCTATAGTCGAGTCTATAGTCTAGTCTATAGTCTAGTCTATTAGTCTAGTCTCTAGTCTAGTCTATAGTCTGGTCTATAGTCTGGTCTATAGTCTGGTCTATAGTCTAGTCTATATTCTAATCTATAGTCTGGTCTATAGTCTAGTCTATAGTCTAGTCTATAGTCTAGTCTATAGTCTAGTCTATAGTCTAGTCTATAGTCTAGTCTATAGTCTAGTCTATAGTCTAGTCTATAGTCTAGTCTATAGTCTAGTCTATAGTCTAGTCTATAGTCTAGTCTATAGTCTAGTCTATAGTCTAGTCTATAGTCTAGTCTATAGTCTAGTCTATAGTCTAGTCTATAGTCTAGTCTATAGTCTAGTCTATAGTCTAGTCTATAGTCTAGTCTATAGTCTCGTCCATAATCTAGTCTATAGTCTTACTTTCTTAAACAAAATGTGGTTGAGTGTGAGCAATTTTCTATGAAAATTCCATTGTGGCAATGATATTCTCAGAACAACTCTGTTTTACTATTTATAATTCGTAGATTTTTTATATTTTTGCTCTTTTATTAATAATAATATTCCCAATTTGTTTAATAATTTTCAAACTAATTTGTTTTCAATTTCATTTAATTACTAACACAGTCTCTAGTGACAAATAACAAATAACAAATTTAAATATTTTCTTTGTACAAATTAAAAATGTTTTATTCAAATTCATTTTGTATTAAATCTTTTTCCCCAAGTGATAAAAATAAAATGTATTTTTTTTGTTACAATAACAGCATGTGCAAATAAGTACAAGAATAGGCACTCAATAATACTTACTAACGACTGTCATAGTTTCTGATTCAGAAACTGTATTAAATGCGGGTGCTTCACCAGATACTTCACATTTATAAACGCCCGTTGACTGCAGTGTGACACGTCTAAGAGCCACTTGTGTGTCGGAGGAATTGCGTAGCTGGAATAAGAAATTTTTGTATAAAATAGATTAAATTGTTTAAAGAATTTTGAAAGAATTATTAATTAGTTTTTTCAATAATTTGTTGAAATCAAATAAAATGTACTCCCTTAGATATTTGTTACTCATTTGAACTGTTTGTTTATGTAAAATTTTTCCCCCTATTTTGCTGTTTTTTAATTAAAAAGTGAGGGAGTTGAAATAGTTTTTCTGCTTCCCTTTTCATTTGAATAATTTAAATGATGATTAACTATTTTTTGTGGTATTTACTTGGTTTGTTTTTTTTTCTAAACTTTAGTTTTTACTCAACAGATGTGTTTTTTCTGTTGGTTTTTTGCAATTTTTTCCCTTTAGTTTTTAATTTCAATTTAAAAACATGATTATGCAAATCGTTCATTTGTTGGAGTTTTGCGGTTAATTTAAAGAATTGTTATATTTTTTTCACATCATATATAGAAAAGTGTAAAAAGTGAAAAGTCAGACGGTTTTTAAGTGAAAAAATTAAGATTAATGAGATTTCACTGTTGCAAAATCATTTATTTTTATTATATTTCTTATATATTCTGCAGACTTTCTTTGATTAACGAGATTAAGTTTGTTTGAAATTTAACAATTTATCTTGAAGGTGTAATTGTTGAAAAAGGTGTTTTGTAATGTTAATTGATAAAAGTGAGGGAAAGAATATGTTTTTAAAATTCAATTCTAGAGAAAATCTCTTTAGAAAACAACTCTAGATTGTTGAGAATTTTCCTATAGTTTCTAGAGAAAGTTTTAAAGAATTCTTTCCGGGAGAACTGTCTTAAGTATTTTTCTTCACAAAAAAAGATAATGCATTTTGATTGCCCAACAATTGTGCACTTCTTTTTTTAAGTTTAACTTGACAATGTCACATCACAATGTCTTTTTCTTCCAAAATGTCTACCCATTATTTTGCCATAACAACAAATATAAGAAACAAAAACGAAAAATATGAAATATTTATTTCCGCCTTATAATAAAGTCTAAAGAAAATCATATATTGTTAACATTTTTTCGCAATAAAAGACAAGATCTTTTGTTTTTTTTTCTATACAAACATATAAAACTAGTCAACAATGGCAAAAGTCACGTATATTTTTCTATCTAGAATCCTTAAGGATTTATTTAGTTTTTTTTTCTTGTTAGACACAAAAGTCCTTTAAAACTGATATTTTTTTATAAATATATGCGTGTGACGTTTAAAGTGGTGAACAAACTTTAGTTCTTTAAACTTTTATAATACATGGTTGTGGTTGAATTATAGTTGTAAGGCGAACACAAACATAATTCGAAAAAATAAGTTTTGTATATTTTTTAACAACTATATTTGTGGTTGTCTAAAGTTTGTTTCTTTTTTTTTTTTTTTTTTTTTATTTAAATATTAAGTATATTTTTTAATTTGAAAATTTTTATATGATATAATTTAATTGAATAAAGTTTTATTTTGTGGTTTCTAAATCATTTTTAAAATATTTAAAAATTATATTTTATTTTTAATGTAAGAAGGGAAGTTTGATTTTAAATGGAATTGTTAATATAGGTTTTCCTTAAAAATATTGCTTTAGGTATTTGCAGTTTTTCCTTGTAATGCAAGCTATGTACGTTCTTCTTGGCGTATGATAAATATTTAATTCAGCTTATAACAATTATACGCCTACAATTGCTGTGATACCATGTTTACTGTATACTACAGCAAGCATGTAGTTAAATATGTACTTTCACTTTTATTCCTAGAATTGCAATATAAAATTTACATTCAGAGTCTGGATTCATTTGAGTTATTGTAGAGTCCATGAATAAAATATACTTTTAAATTAAATTTCTCGTTTCTGTAGCGCTTTCTCGGAAAAATCAAATAATTTTATGTATAAGAAACGTCTATAAAAGTGGGATATCCGACTAAATGAAAAAATACTAAAAATATGAGGATGTTTAAAAAGTCCTTAAGATTCCTTCCGAGTGTTTGTTGCACAAAAGAGATAGAGCCCGAGGTATATTTCAAGGAATTTAATTGTATTTCTACTCATATACTACTAACTAACTACTACTACTAACTAACTAACTAACTAACTAACTAACTACTAACTAACTAACTAACTAACTAACTAACTAACTAACTACTAACTAACTAACTAACTAACTACAACTAACTAACTAACACTAACTACTAACTAACTAACTAACTAACTACTAACTAACTAAACTAACTAACTAACTACTAACTAACTAACTAACTACTAACTAACTAACTAACTAACTAACTACTAACTACTAACTAACTACTAACTAACTAACTAACTAACTAACTACTAACTAACTAACTAACTAACAACTAACTAACTAACTAACTAACTAACTAACTAACTACTAACTAACTACTAACTAACTAACTAACTAACTAACTAACTAACTAACTAACTAACTAACTAACTAACTAACTACGACTAACTAACTAACTAACTACTAACTAACTAACTAACTAACTAACAACTAACTAACTAACTACTACTACTAACTAACTAACTAACTAACTACTAACTAACTAACTACTAACTAACTAACTAACTAACTAACTAACTAACTACTAAAACTAACTAACTAACTAACTAACTAACTACTAACTAACTAACTAACTAACTAACTAACTAACTACTAACTAACTACTAACTAACTAACTAACTAACTAACTAACTAACTTAACTAACTAACTAACTAACTAACTAACTAACTACTAACTAACTAACTAACTAACTAACTAACTAACTAACTAACTAACTAACTAACTAACTAACTAACTAACTAACTAACTAACTAACTAACTAACTACTAACTAACTAACTAACTAACTAACTAACTAACTAACTAACTAACTAACTAACTAACTAACTAACTAACTAACTAACTAACTAACTAACTAACTAACTACTAACTAACTAACTAACTAACTAACTAACTAACTAACTAACTAACTAACTAACTAACTAACTACTAACTAACTAACTACTAACTAACTACTAACTACTAACTAACTAACTACTAACTAACTAACTAACTAACTAACTAACTAACTAACTAACTAACTACTAACTAACTAACTAACTAACTAACTAACTAACTAACTAACGAACTAACTAACTAACTAACTAACTAACTACTAACTACTAACTAACTAACTAACTAACTAACTAACTAACTAACTAACTAACTAACTAACTAACTACTAACTAACTACCTAACTAACTAACTAACTAACGAATAACTAACTAACTAACTAACTAACTAACTAACTAACTAACTAACTAACTAACTAACTAACTAACTAACTAACTAACTAACTAACGAACGAACGAACGAAACTAACGAACGAACTAACGAACGAACTAACGAACAAACGAACTAACTAACTAACTAACTAACTAACTAAACTAACTAACTAACTAACTAACTAACTAACTAACTAACTAACTAATTAACTAACTAACTAACTAACTAACTAGCTAGATTAGATTAGAGAGAGCCCTAAGCATAGCGACATAGAGACCACAGTGTTCCCTGAGTAGTCCCGTTAGTATTCTTAGATCAATTTTGTTAAGCGATAATTACTTTTGGGATTTTCCTCTTGATATCTTGATTAAGTGCTTTGTCTGCCTAATTCCTGATGTTGCTTCCCAGTGGCAAGCAAATTCCGATTCGACCTACGATACGCATCTTTGTCTGACGTAACCTTGATGGATACCAAAGAATGGTTCAGGGCAGTTTGCTAAGCAGTCCGCGCGTTTGTTGCCAGAATAACCTTCGTGGCCGGATATTGTTAAAATAACTAACTAACTGACTAACTAACCCGAATTTCATTGCAACATTCATCGGGGGGTTTAGTTGCATGATTTAAATAATAGACCGATTTTAATCCCTTTCAATAAGCTACGCCCATTGAATTATCTTCAAATTTGCGATTGATTACAAGATTTTCATGGATGGAAGGACAGACAGAAATAGTTAAATCGACACAGAATATGATTCTAAGCTGCTGAGTATATTTAAGGTGGATATAGAACCAATATTATTGTGCATTACAAACATTAATTAGTAAATCACTAACTACTAATATCAATATGTCTATTTTACAAAGCAATATCTGATGGAAAATTTTACTTATAATTACATACTAAAATTTTCAAAGAAAAATTAAGCAATTGCTTTACCCTCCTGATGACATTGACTTTTAATAAATGAACTTCTTAGATTTCCCTTGCTACAGGTACAACTACAATAATAACCAATACTCGGAAAACTTTCTTTATGAATCCAACAGCAAATAAATGAAAAATCAAATGGATACTGCACAGAGCAGCAGCTGTGTATACAACATCTCTTGCAAAAGAAACTTGATAAAAATTGCAGTAAGATACTTACGTCAACATTGATACCCGGCAAAGGAAATGCCTGTCCCGGTGGTTTATTTCGTGGCACATAACGATAAAATTCATGACCGTCTTTATACCATTTTACTGAATACAAAGATTCTCCATCGAGACTGTAACGACAACCTAAAATGGCACTTTTAAAGCGCATTATATGATTGGGTATTTTCACCTCCGTCATGGTTAGAGAATTTGTTATATCTGCAAGAGAAACAAGGAAAGATACATTTACTTTAACTTATTTAAGATGTATGAATGTTAAATATGTATATAAATTAATATTGTAAAAAGGGTTCCGGTATGCAGTAAAAATATTTTATGTTTCTTTTTCATTACATTTTCTTTAAGAACAAATATTACTTAAAACTCCACGGGGGAGGGGAGTTTTAAGTAATATTGTATGGCAACTAATGACCGTCATATAACAACTTTAGAAGTTGTAAAAATAACTTCTAAAAGAAAATATTTGACATAAATGTTTTAGATGTTTTGCTTATTTTACAAATTAGTTTTCACGTATATTAGACGGGTAACAAACTAAATAAACTGAAACAATACAAACATAAAGAAATAATAACAGAAAAGGGCTGAGCACGGAAATTGCAGCTGGGTTTCAATTTTATGCACACTTTTTGTTAGTAGTTTTTTTGTTGTTGTCTTGTCATTGCACTCAGGGGAGCACGGTGGGCTAGAGATAACATTATACAGTCAGAGATAAAATTTATTAAGGGATTTCTATAATACATTAAGAAAACTAAAAAAATTTGGGTACTATTATCTTCTATAGAAGCCTTGGTGTTGGAGGACTTAAAGAAATGGCTTAATGAATCTAAAATCTAGTTTTTGATTTTTTTTTTTAATTTCCTTCCACTGTTTTCAATTTGTTTCCTTGTCACAGCAGATGCATAACTTTAAACAGTTCTATGGGTTTTAAAACTTCAACTTGTTCCCGTGTCTTCCATTTTTCTACTTAGACTAGTATTAAAACGCTCAGACACTTGCAACCACCATTATTTTATGGTAACATAATTTCCTTTGAAGACAAATGATGTTGACGTGTTCAACAATAAAGGAAAAGTTGTATAAACTGAAAAACGAAAATGATAAATAAATACAAACTCCAAGACAATAGTGAAAACCCAAAGCAAAAAAATATACAAAAATGTGCATCAACCTAGAACAGGAAATGCAACTTAACATCATCACCAAACAACGAACGTACCAAACTATCTTTAGAAGTTTCAATAGAAATGTTAAAAAAAATAAAACAACAGCAAAAACAGTAAAAATAGGAAGTTTAAACATCTAAGGAAAAATACACCTTATTCGGAATTGTTGTTGTGCTATCACCACTACGCTTATCACTGCTTGTCTTTCTCTCTGTCTCTATTTCAGAAACTCTTTCTTTCTTTAAGTATGCAATTTAAAATGTCGGTATTTCATTGTGTTTTCAAAAACAGTGATCAGTTGTCATAGACAGAAGGGAATAAAATCAAATAGATTTTCACTTCTTAACAACAAACACAACAAAAGATTTTTTAAAACTTGCAGCTAACTTGCTTTTTAGTCTCCTCAAGCCCAACACTGCTTTAAGAAATATATATTTACCTCTTATTTTACCCTACAAGTATAACAAACAACAATAGTAATGGAATGCAACTAAACAATGAATAAATTCTGCATAAAATAACAACAACAATAATACATAGTTATAATAACAACAATAAATTCTAAAATTGTTTTTTCTATTTGCATTCGTTCATCGTTATATTGTAAATTTTCTAACTAATATTTACTGCATTATCAGCATTTAAATGCAAGAGGATTCAAAGTAAAAATGTATGTAATACATTGCAATGTTGTAATAAGGATGTAGAGAATTTCAAATATTTGAGGATTTTTTTTTGCGAAAGTAAAGGTACATATTTAGAGCTATATTTCTTTTAGTATGAATGCAGTTATAAATGTTTTAATGTAAAAGTTTTAATAATTTTTGCTATAATAAGCTTTTTATAATCTTTAGAAGGTAAGTAATAGTACCAACTCTCTATGTATGGAAAGCAGAAAAGCATTTGGTTTTATTAGATTATTCTTTACTTATATGGGTGCCTCTCTACACTTATTGAAGTTAAATTTAACCGATATTAGAATTATAAATGTATAAAAATATATTTTGTGAATTCTCTCATAATTTAATACATTTGTTTTAGTTCAATAAAAGAGGTACCATTTTATGCTTCTAAAGAACAAAGAGGTACCAAAAGTACTATTCATTTGCATAAAATAACAGTACCAAATTTAGGGCTTGTAGGGATTGGAAACCGATATCCAATATAGACTATACTATAGACTAGAATATAGACTAGACTATAGACTAGACTATAGACTAGACTATAGACTAGACTATAGACTAGACTATAGGCTAGACTAAGACTAGACTATAGACTAGACTATAGAGTAGACTATAGACTAGACTATAGACTAGACTATAGACTAGACTATAGACTAGACTATAGACTAGACTATAGTCAAGACTATAGACTAGACTATAGACTAGACTATAGACTGGACTATAGAGTAGACTATAGACTAGACTATAGACTAGACTATAGAGTAGACTATAGACTAGTAGACTAATAGACTAGACTAGACTATAGACTATAGACTAGACTATAGACTAGACTATAGACTAGACTATAGACTAGACTATAGACTAGACTATAGACTAGACTATAGACTAGACTATAGACTAGACTATAGACTAGACTATAGACTAGACTATAGACTAGACTATAGACTAGACTATAGACTAGACTATAGACTAGACTATAGACTAGACTATAGACTAGACTATGACTAGACTATGACTAGACTATAGACTAGACTATAGTAGACTAGACTAGACTATAGACTAGACTATAGACAGTAGACTATAGACTAGACTATACTAGACTAGACTATAGACTAGACTATAGACTAGACTATAGACTAGACTAGACTAGACTATAGACTAGACTATAGACTAGACTATAGACTAGACTATAGACTAGACTATAGACTAGACTATAGACTAGACTATAGACTAGACTATAGACTAGACTATAGACTAGACTATAGACTAGACTATAGACTAGACTATAGACTAGACTATAGACTAGACTAGACTATAGACTAGACTATAGACTAGGACTATAGACTAGACTATAGACTAGACTATAGACTAGACTATAGACTAGACTATAGACTAGACTATAGACTAGACTATAGACTAGACTATAGACTAGACTATAGACTAGACTATAGACTAGACTATAGACTAGACTATAGACTAGACTATAGACTAGACTATAGACTAGACTATAGACTAGACTATAGACTAGACTATAGACTAGACTATAGACTAGACTAGACTAGACTAGACTAGACTATAGACTAGACTAGACTAGACTAGACTAGACTAGGCTATAGACTAGACTAGACTAGACTAGACTAGACTAGACTAGACTAGGCTAGACTATAGAGCTAGACTATAGACTAGACTAGACTAGACTAGACTAGACTATAGACTAGACTATAGACTAGACTATAGACTAGACTATAGACTAGACTATAGACTAGACTATAGACTAGACTATAGACTAGACTATAGACTAGACTATAGACTAGACTATAGACTAGACTATAGACTAGACTATAGACTAGACTATAGACTAGACTATAGACTAGACTATAGACTAGACTATAGACTAGACTATAGACTAGACTATAGACTAGACTATAGACTAGACTATAGACTAGACTATAGACTAGACTATAGACTAGACTATAGACTAGATTATAGACTAGACTATAGACTAGACTATAGACTAGACTATAGACTAGACTATAGACTAGACTATAGACTAGACTATAGACTAGACTATATTACCATCTACAAATTGGAAAAAAAAATCCTCCTCAATAGATCTGCAACACTAAAAATATACTTAAAATCGATTTTCGAATATTTATTCCCAATAATTTTAGTGCAAATCAAAAGTAATTCTAGAGCTGAAAATTGTAGTTGATTCTCTTTAGTTAATGGAAATTACATTGAATATCTATCATTAACATGCATTAAACATTCATATAAGTATTTTAAAACAGATTTCATTACAGCTTGTTTTCAGATAATGATCCGCATTCTTAATCATAAATAATGAATCTTCATTTGTATAACTTCTTTTATAACTGTTTGAACTACTTTACTCAAATTCAAATGAATGACATCTTGAAGTTTTAACTCCTCTTAAAAACGACGTCTTTAAAACGTACTTATCTTTTAAGGATTTTTGATTAAATATATAAAAGTTGCAGCTGCTTACTACAACAACAACAACTACTCACTCAAACGAATGTTACCACTAACTCTATTGTCTGCAATTCTCTGAATATAATGACGACAACTATTGCAAATGTATGTATTAACATTAATATAATTCCAACATTACTGATTCCCCTCTCCCACTTTGCACGTACAAACATACATATAAGTAATGCTAAAAACAAACAACAATAATAGCAACAACAATGTCAGCAATAATATCAATGACAACAACATCCTTTTCATGTATTAAATAAGCAGTAGTTGTTATTGTGGCAGCAGTAACAACAGCAGCAATGTTAGTTGTTGGTAATGTTGAAAGTTGCAGGAAAAAGTAACTGCTGTTGGTATTTAGTAAAAGGATTTAACACAGACATATGCATAATGTAGTAGTTGTTAGTAGGATATGTATTAGTACTATGTGCTTTTAAAAGAATATCATAAATTAAGAGCAACTGTGTGCTGTGTGTCTGTATTTACTTGTAGTTTTTACTGCAAAACTTATTCACTCTTTCTCACATGCATACATACATGTATGTATAGCAGCTGCATAATAGAGACACTCTTTGTCAACATAACCTACAATTCAATGACTGTATAAATAAATGTCTATATGTATTAGTAAGTTGAGTGCATATTTATATACACATGTTAGTAGCTTTAATATGCATTATATTTAAGATATGAAGACAGGCAAATAATTATCTTAATTAATAAGTTGAAATAATGCAAATAAAAAAGTGGGCGTGAAAAGGGGCGGGAAATACCATCAAAATAGAGAAAAAACCCTTTAGTTTCTTATGAGAATAAAAGGTAGTTCTATTATCATATGAGTAAC